ACAAGTATTACTCTTGCCCTGTAAGCGATTTTCAGTCCAGTGAAACAAATTTCTTCCTGTAGAGCCTTCCTGCATCTTGAAAGTGAAGCCCTACGTGGAAGTTTTTATGCCCACTCTAAAAGAGGGGATGCCCGTCTGGGACCTTCCCTTGGTCCTGCCGCTGCCCACCTGCACCCTAGGCTGTCACCCGGGCATGGCCGCCCTGCATCCTCCGCATCCAGCTGCCCTGTTTTCCCTCCCCCTTGTCCCCTTCTCCAATTTTTTTTTTTTTTTTTTTTTTTGAAAATAGCTATTAATTATGACCCCCAAAATGAAGCATGTTGCGATAACGCATGGTTGAGCAACCCGCTTTGGAAGAGCTATGATGCTCTCTCTGTACTCTGTTTTTAGCGAAATGCAGAATTGTTTTTTCCAGTTCAGATTGTCCTTTCCCAAACTTGACTTTATTTTTGTGCTTTACTCATATTGTTCTACCTCTGTATATTAGCATGAAGCTTTTGGGCACCTTGGGTACACTCATTTATATGGAGTTTATTCAAAAAACAAACAAAAAAAACCAAAAAACAAACGCAAAAAAACCAAACACCCCCCACCCCCCCCAAAAAAACAAGCAGCGTCACTGTCCATTTATTTTATTAGCTTGCCCCGATTGCCTCAGTTATATCTGTTTTGACTTGAGAGATGGCACGTTGCTGATACTTTGCTGCCTTCAGTGTTCAGGCTGGTTTAGTCTGGTGGCAGAAGCTAAATTTCAAAATGTACATATTTAAGCACATGACACTTTCCATATTTTCTCACTGGTACTGACTTCTCCCTATGATTTTCTATTTCGGTGACGCTTCAGTGTTACAAACGTACCGTCACCAATTTGCAAATTACAAAACCAAAACCCAGGAATGCAATGTTCACAGTCAATCTGCCACGGTGTCCAGCCTTGCTGAGAGCGGAGCTGAAGGGATTGAATGGTTTATCGGTGTACCTTCCAAGCGTTTAAATAGTTCTTTATACTATTAGTATAAATTAATTATGCTAGTAGTAATAATTTACTGTTTACTATAGTAACTAGAAAATTATTTGTAAAGCTGGATAAATATTAGGGTGAAATTAATGTGGTTTCATAATTAACAGAGATAAATTCTAGCAACATTTTTTGTTCACTTGCTGCTTCCTTTCATATTCTAGTCCTGCAGAAAAAGTACACTTGCCTTCTTTTTCAAGAAATCTTTTTTTCATAAAGTTTGCAAAACTCAGGAACTTTTTTTTCCTGCAAGATTGTATCCCAATCTTAGTCTGGTAATTTCAGTTTGTCGTTTTGCAAAGGCCTTTCTACAGTGTATGTTTGATTGTAATTACAAAGTGCTTTTCACTCTCCCACAATTTGAGGTTGTGTGTAAATGTATATCTTGTATGTATATATATATGCACATCTATCTTATTTGGAATTAGATTTTATTTGGTTTAGACTTTAAACCAGTGTTATAGTTTAAAGCTTTGCGCTTATCTTGCACAACAGAGATGGGTTATTTGCCATGTTAGTTTGTCTGAAATACGCTGTGAAACTAGCGTAAGGGGGTGGAACAACTCCTGAAGAAATTGTTCGATACAATGCTAAAGCGTTCTTTTTGTGGGTGGAGTTTAGGATTTCCTGAAGAAATTTTCCTCGGATCAATTCAGGATGTTTTGTTTGCGCAGCAGATACAGCTCAGGTAAGGGACACAAACCCCCAAACCCCGTGTTTGTGGAGGGGTGCCTGGCTTTGGGCGCGCTTGCCGAGGTGGTGGTGGAGCGAGCTCTCCCTGCGGTGCCCCCGGCAGGGAAGGGGTGCTCGTGCTCTGCCGGGCTGCTCTTGGCCTCGCCTGGAGAAAAGCATCTTTACCGACCACAGTACGTAACCATTCGTCTAAATACCTTCCTGAGCCACGCTTAATTGCGACCCCCAATTAATTGCACTTTCAGTTAATGAATTACCTCCATCTCTGATTTGTGTCTGTTGCAGTCACTTGTATTTCAGCCTCCATCAGCTGTTTTTGGAGACGTATCTAGGTAGAGCTTTGCCTTATATTCCTGTAGGGTATGACAAGGGCTTGCTAATAACTTTTTATCTCCCTGCTGCGTTATCATTTTTTGTCCCGTGGAGTTCCTGAGTGTTCAAGCAGTTCTGTGGCGCAGTGCAGCTCGCTGACGCCAGCGCTTGATAGCCTAATGATCATCTTAGCCTGGCGAACGCTGCTGGTGGGGAGAGGTCTGGGAGATTGTGTCAGCTTCCCCGTCCACACCGCGGTGTTTCCAGCAGGCAGATGCTACTTTAAACTGGGCGAGATTTTCATATGAATCCTGTTTTTTAGCGGTTTATTGGGACCTGCCAAAAGCAGATGGTAGCTCCCTAACCACTGGGTTATCCGGCTTGGTGGCCGTCCTGGCATGGTAAGGGGATGGCGGAGCACGGGGCAACACGTGCCGCGTCGTGTCTGTGGGCACGTAGCTGTACGTAGCACTGTAGCTGCCTCGGATAAAGCACGTCTAGCAGCGTGACCGGGGGAGCTGGCGTGGGCACGGCTCTGTGGCTTGGCTGGTGTCGGTCGGCGTGCGTTGCGCTGCCAGCCTGTCGAGACCTGCAGTCGCTGGGCTGAGAAGTCTGTTTGCTTGTTAATTCCTCGAGCCAGCCGACGGATCTGCCCGCTGGAGCCTCCCTCTCCTAAGGCAGCCGAAGGCATCGGGAATGCTGTGTATTCCTGAAGCCTTTCAAAGCATGGGATAGTAAAGAGATGGCTGGTTGTTGACTGCCGACCTCCACTGTGATCGGGACGTTTGCTGCAGAAGAAGCCCCTGTTTGGAGCCGGAGAGGGGCAGGCCGTGGGGAGCACTGCCCCGGTGGGGTGCCAGCATGCCAGGCTGTGTCGGGTGGTGCCACAGGACAGCGGTACACCTGGCTGTGTCCTCTGGGTCTGTACCAGGAGATGAAAGACCTTGTGCATACGTAAATGTCTCCCTGGCTGCAGCTAGGGGCACTTGGGAGCCTCGAGCAAATGTGTATTTAAAACAAAAGAAGGACAAAAGCTAATGCCTACAACAGGATCGTGTATATGTTTGTCCTGTACAGAAAAGCCGAATGGCTGGCGATGTCTACGCTTGCCTCAGGGCAAGGCACGGCACTGGGGGGCTGCCTGCACCTGCGCCCCAGCTGGCCGCGTTCGACCCTCTGCGAGAAGGACGTGACCCTTTTTTTTGCCTTCTAGGTTAAACACCTTCCTGTGATAAAAACAGAGGGCTGCCTGTGCAAACACAGGTGGCTTTGATGAAAGAATACGGTGGCGTTGTATCGGGGCGTAGTGCCAGTGAGCCGGTCTGCAGATAAGGGTCTCTGGAAGGCCTGCTGCCCTTGCCACCTCCGCCTTCGGTGGCAGGGTGCCGCGGTTTGCCGCCCGATATCGCCAGCGCCAGTCCCTGCCCAGCCAGGTGTTCGCTATTCGCTGTCGCTTTGTGTCCCTGCTATCAAGTCGCTGCGGTCTAAAGATAAGTTTACTGCACTCCTCCTCGTCTTGCGCTCTGCTTCCTCAGTGTTTTTATTGGAAGTGAGATCCCAAGCGCCTTCTGTTTGTTCCCAAGAAGGTTTTCGTAGCCTAAACCTATCGGCAGTGGTTCCCGCCGTCGCTGCCTGTGAGGAGAGCCTTCGTGCTTGCTAAAATCCAGGTCTGGGGGTCGGGCGGTGTCACCGTGCTCGTTGGATCGAGCCGTACGAGGTCTTTGTAGGCACGCGGTTGGCAGTTGGGAAGGGGTCGGTGCTGCGGTTCACGTGGACCTCGGGCTCGGAATGGGCCTTTTTTGCGGTCTGGGCTTCGCCCTGCCTGTGTGTGTGCTGACGGGCACCGGGGGACAAACGCGACTCCGGAGTGACCCAG